AACAAGATTTGGGTTTCTCCATTCGATATCCGACTTTCAACAAATGGAAGAGACGTTCGGGAAGGATACCCGGATAAGGAGATGCTCCTAAATCGAAAATGGATTATTAAAGGATGTTCCGACGAAAATCCGCGTTAACCGTACTCTACGTTGTACTTACCTAGAGTAACGATTTCCCACAGCACCACACCGAATGCCCACCTACACGAATGGAAAAAAATTTTACTTTTCAATGAGCGAGAGTGTATCGAATGCGAAAAGTAACCTACACGTCGCTCCTCGTAGTGTAAATGTGATCTTCTAGAGACTCGATGGCCATCCACTTCACCGGAACCGGACCCTAAAAGCGTTCGATNGCCCACCTACACGAATGGAAAAAAATTTTACTTTTCAATGAGCGAGAGTGTATCGAATGCGAAAAGTAACCTACACGTCGCTCCTCGTAGTGTAAATGTGATCTTCTAGAGACTCGATGGCCATCCACTTCACCGGAACCGGACCCTAAAAGCGTTCGATAAAATAACAAGTTTGCTAATTTATCAAACATTTCAAAAATGTTAAAGTATAATGATGGAAACGTTTGAAAAAACCAGATAAATATAAAGATAATTCGATTCGTAATTTACAGTTACAAATATCGAGAGTGGCGAAAATAAAAATTAAATTAAATTTTTAATAAAAAGTAATAAAAAGTCACGGTGGAAAACCCGAATCGAAGTTTCGAAATAATACAAGTTAGGTCTATAAACGTAAGGCGGGGACATCGATGTTCCCTACGGAGCGGCCATTTTGGATCCGCAGTTCCGAGGTCCCGATACAAATTTCACGCTATCTACGCGCTGTAAACTGCCCGTTCCTTCGAGTTAAAGCCACGGAATTCCTTTTATAATATCAAGTAGATTCTCTTTTCATTTAGAATCTTATTTTCACTTTTAACGGATCACCCTAGTTAATGTGCAGATTAGCTAGGTAATGCGTACATTAACGGATTTCGAGCTTTAGCGGTAACATATATATATATCAATTTAGATTACAATAGTTATAGAGGGAGGAGGATTATGTACTGTACAGTGTATAAAATGCTCGGAATTGTCGCAGCTTATCGGGCTTGGCGGTCTTTAGATCTTCGTAAGAACTGTCACACGAAACTTTCGCGAGAATCTTCACGCGTAACGTCGGACGTATTCGTGAAATACGATCCACGCGACGACCACCGATACGCGGATGGGTATTATACGTAATATTTTTTCACAATCTAAATATAGGCCTATTTTTACATCTATATTTAATAGAGAGTCGAGTGCAAATAGAAATGATTTCCTCTCGCTTCGAAAGTTCATATGGCAGCATACAAATTACAAAATATTTCAGAAAA